GTAAAACATGAGCGCAAACACACGACTCATACACGTACTTTTTATCACTGCATTCCGTATCACATGTTTCCGATATTGCATTCACGTGATACACTACGATTTGGAACAATTTTTTCTTTAATTAAGAGGATACCTTGAAAATGAATCGTAGTTTTGAGGTCGTGGCTTATTGAAATAATACTAGTTTTTACGGAATTTATCGCGTATATTTCGTGGCTTATTTCTTTGTCGGTGAAGCTCACGGACGACTGAGGGAGTGTCAAAATGAAAGTGATGCAATGACTTTAAAATACGCAAATTATGAGATAGCTGTACTGAGCACACGCTCGGAAAAAAACTAAGTAAGCGCCAAACAACTTTTTTTTAACAAAACCCTGTATTTTTTAATTTTTTTATTATATAAAAAAGAATATTAGCAATGCTATAAACATTACTAATATTCCCCTTAACCACTCGTGGTAAGTTTAATTTGCTTGTGTTACGACTGGTTCACGCCAGTAGTCGAATAGCGGATTCGACCCACGACCTTTTGAGTTCGCGGTCCGTGCCCTGCCATTAGGCTACTGTCGCTGTTATGGATTAAAACAATGGTTTATTTAAACTCATATCTAATGACTATTTACTAGCCTAGCCTTAAAATAATTCCATGAACTTATTCGTAAAAACAATGTGGGAATCATGGAGAAATGTAACTAATTAGAGCCTACTTAGCAATTTATTTTCTATCGAGAAAATTATGTTATCGTGTTTTTAATAGCTAATAACACAGGCTTAGAAGAGTTCATGTTTCCTGTAACGTTATGACTTTACTGGTTTCGATATACAGTTAAAGTAGCTCCCACGTGGTAGAGCCACGGTGCAGCTATATTGTGGTTGTAACACGAATGGGTCGGCTCCACCGGAGTTGGACCACGCTCTCACAGAATATCAGCGTAAAATAGCAGTTTAATGCTGCTGTTTCGTACGATGAGTGTAGAGAACCGGAGAGCCTTTCTAACGCAAACGAGGCATTTCATCTTAGTCCTCAAGGATGACAGATTAGATCAGATCAGCATCTTAATCGAAGATACATGTAGATTTCCATTGGCGACAGTATCCACTTTACCATCAGATGGGTTGTGTGCTTGATTGTCAACCTTATTCTATCAAAGTCCACTATAGAAGATAGGTTCCCCATCCCCTTATTATCTCATGATGAGGATGATATTTCCGATAATTGCCACACTAGCCAGGCGGGTTGGATATTTTATTCTTTGGTTGTTATGAAGACTAGCGGTTCGTACGAGTGATTTTTGGATCTAGACAACATATGCACGTATTATACATATAGACCACTAGACCAACGAGGCAGTCACCTTTTGATAATAGATAGTCAAACACATCTACAATTACCTCATACAAAACAAAATGCAGATGCGTTGTCATCCATGAGGACTAAGACCGAATAATAAAATAATAAAATGGATGGAATCGGAATGCCTCGTTTCCAGTAAAAAGGGTCCCCGGTTCTTTACACCCACCATATGAGACACAGCAGCATTAAGCTACTATTTTATACTTGTCGGTTGAGCCGACCCATTCCTGCTACAACTATACTAATAATATAATTACAGCATGAATCTACCACGTAAAAAATGAAAAACTATTGTGTAAGAAGTTTTTCTAACGAATTAATTAAGTCCCAAGTTTTTGCCTCGGCGCTACCGTCTGCGCGAAATTGTACAGTTGCTATCAAATTCCAAATTTGACAGTTTTTAATGAAAGAAAATCTAGTTTAAGCCTGAGTCTAATAATAAGTTACTTTTTGTAATAAGGCAGAGGAGACCGTATTTTTAAACACGCTTTTATTAGCGTCGCCTGTACGCGTGTATCTATCTTTAACCAACTTGCAGGCAGCCGATTGACTTGAAAATTTGCAATAGTATCAAGGATTGATGACAATACAATAATTTAATAACCTTATTCTTATATCCTAATCAGAATCACCAAGATAAAATAAAATAATTATCAGGATCATCACAGCTCATGATCAATGATTAAAATTAATAACTTCGAGTACCTTGTAGAGAAATAATATTATGTTAGTAATAAATAAGTCTAAATAATTTGAGATATCGCAAGTATAGAACTTCAACAGAAGATAATGATTTTATCACTTTATTAAGGCTTATGGTTTAATGAGATTCGGGCTATGCAGTTTCCACTGTACCTGTTGGTATAGTGAACAAGAGAATTGTACAGGCTCTTGCATCGTTTAACACGCGCTTAGGGGCATTACCATTAGGTAGACTTGTTGCTCATTTCATTAAAATCAGTACCTTCAAATAAGAATCGAAATGTAGATGCATTGGTACCCCAGGGGACTATGATAAAGACATGAGATCTTGTCTTCTTGAATGTTGCAAACCACTCCTAGCATAAGTATTTATTTTAAGTTTAGTTTAAGTGGTTAATAGGGTAATTATTATTGTTAACAGCACTGCCAGTACTATTATAGGAGTCATAAAAAGCCTACCAGATCAGGCAACTCTCCTGATCTGGTAATATTCTCTCCTTAGAAGTTGAATGTGTGAAACCATTGACTATACTGTGATTTCAACCACCTACATAGTGTTGTGTACTCATAGTCCACTTTCTTAAAATAATGAGCTGTAGAAAATCATTCATCTAATATGCCACCAGTCTAGAGGCTATGAGCCATACAAATTACTGTACTGTAGACATGTGTCAATCATGCATGATTCGTTCGTTTGAGCGGGTACACTTAAAAGTATTGATGGTTCATTCATTTGTTTTTAAATGAACCAGTACAACCAGTCACAAACAACTGACGGTACCTTTTTAACCCGCGATTTGTGTGAATTGTGAATGAGCCGCAAACCGACCAAATCCCGAATGATCTGAATAAACAGGCGAATCTTATTAACAATGCAGACTTGCAGAGTATCAGGAGTATTTATTATTTAAGGGTTTTTGTATTATAATATTGTTACCTAAATTAAAAATTATTTTACATTTTATTATATTTATTTGATAAATCTATGAGTTAAAAATATCATTTCGTAGAGTTTAATAAAAATAACACTTCAAAGATTTCATGATAAATGATTTATTTAATGATAATTTCCAACCATCTTATATAAGTATAAGATAGGGAAATGTTTAATTTTGTAGCAAATAAACGTAAAAATTTTCGGTTCTCAATGGATCTCACAAAGTACTGGAGCCTGAAATGATCCATTTGAATTAAAGTTGTTCAAAACGACAATAAATCAATAGCATGCTACAGACTATAAACTATAAATTTCTAGCGTGCTATTAAATACGCTATGTTATAGCACTATTTATAAGAAAGTGTGTAGGAGGCCGACAAGCGTGTTAAATTTAGCAACACGCTATATCTCGAAGCACGCTACATTACGTGTCGTTTATTGGATAGACAGCGTGCTATATAAGAACATTATTTCGTAATAAGTCACATTTTAGATTAAAATAAAATAAAGTGGTAAAGAGAAATCAATGAACGCTTTTTCATACTTTTCAGGCTTACGACTTATTATAACCCTAAAAATAATTTTAAGATATGTACTTTTTAAAACAAAATAAAATTAATCATTTTTCATAATAATTGATGTAAACGTTATTTTAACCTTAATATAAATTATAAATCAATTTAAGGTGTATTTAAAAGTTTATTGATTGTATATACAAAAATCAACTATTTACAAACACTATTATATACACTTTTGTATCTATATTTTATTTACATTTAAAACATTAGTTAGGCTTCTTTTGTAGCAGACAACTGTGTCCTTCGATCACTTATAAATATACAGTATACACTAACTAAACAACGTCCAACACTAAATTAGTTCGCGCGCGATGAATAGCGTGCTGCTAGATTAAATTTGCGTCACACGTCTACTCCCAACAGCGCTGCTGCTAAAACTAATTGCCACTTGATAAGAATAGCGCCAAAGCGTCATAGCGCCATAGCGACTACTTACATAGCACGCGCTATGTGTTATGGAGGGATAGCGCGCTATAATATGGCGCTATGCGCTATATTAACCACCATTAATTGATCGATCCGAATGTACCAGTACGCGTGACGAAATGTACTACAATGATTCGGTCGCTAGAAATGAATGATTGACACATGTCTACTGTACTGTAACTGATTTAAATATTTTAGTTTATGACGGCACAATCCACACTTTGCTTAAACCACTACTGTGCAAATATACTTTACCAATCGCTATTGTTTTAGTTTTAGCAAAGGTTACTTGGAAATATGCACAATATTATAACTTGAGAAGTAGAAGCAAAAAGCTTAACTTCAATATAATTCTCTTTTTTTCTTCTTCATCATCAGCATATATGGGCATTTTCCATTGCAGAAGCTTTGATCATTATTTTCCAGGTGGATTATTATTTAACAACCTTAGTACCAGTGTTTTTTCATGAATAAGGGCGACAAATGAGCACACTGTGTTACCTGATGGTAAGTGGATATAGTAGCCCATAGACATCTACATTTATCCTTGATTACAATTCAAAATGCTTATGTGTTGTCTCATCTTTGAGGACTAAGATGGAATGCCCCGTATCCATTAAAATGCTGGTTTTCTGCACTCAACATACAAAACACAGCAGCATTGAGCTGCTATTTTGTGCTGGTATTCCGTGGAAGTGTACTCTTTCCTCAGTCCAGCTGACTCATTTGTTACAACCATAATATACGCAGCCTGGCTCTAACATGTTGAAATCTTACACCTTTTATGGCTATCTCCATCTCTGGTGTACATTATTGTGTGGCATAAACAAGATCCATCCATTGACCATCTTCAGAAGATATAAGAACTTTCCAGCAGTATCCTCAATCACCTCTTAAGACACCCACAGGACAATATGGTGTGGATTTACTTACGCTACCACCACCACATCGTGGCAATTGCAGACTATTACTATATGCAAAAAATTAAAGCAAAAATACTTACAATGTCAGTTCCATAGGTTTCTGATAGCATTTTCACTTCCCAGTAGTAGTGGTTATTGGGCAGCATGGGAGTGTCACCTCGTACTGCTGCTGTGCCAGAGCTATAGAATGGGTGGAATGTCACCTGTTTCCTGTCTTCGCTCATCACCACTTGGCTCAATGTGTTGGCTGCTGGCAACTCCCATCCCCATTCGTTTACTATGAGAACAACAGTAAGTTTGCCTTTCAATATTGTTTTGGTATTGGTTTACTTAGTAAATCAAACTTCCAAGGTGCATGTTAACCCCCTAACTAATCATACACATTGTATGCTACACCTAGGTCTCCGAACTTTGAGATTATAAGTGTAGTATTACCCTGTATTACTATTGTATAATTTACTGGTTAGATCTATTCTGGAATATGCCTGTATCAAACAATCCTCAAAACAAATACCATTTGAGAACATTAGTCAAGTAACAAAAATTTCATAAGCATTGCTACTGTTGATAAACAAGAAACCAACTATTTTTATATAAACTAGTTAGTAACCTCATTGATTTGCCTTTTATACTACAAATTATTTCAATGTCCTCACTAGAGTTCTCGGAGCAAACACACACAAAATATGTAGGTAATACCTTTATATATCACATTGTGAACAGCATTTTCAGTGATAGTGATTCATTTCAGTATGAAATACAAGTCCTAAGTATTAAATTAGAAGAACAATTAACTAATATTAATCTATAATTTTTAATATGTTAAATTTTTAATCTTTAATACATATATTATTTACATATAGGTAATATTTTGTACTGTTAAATAAAATAAATAGATGTAGTATAGTATCACAAGATTGATCTTAAAATTTAAAAATGTTTTCAGCAGATCAATCTTAGCCTCATTCAAACTAAGAGTGTGTAAAATATTGATGACTTGACTGAATAGTATAAATGATGTTTATATAATAAGTTGTTAAATGTTAAATTAAAATTGTTATAGACCGTATATTTACCTATTTCCTGTATTGAAGGAAATATCAACCCAATAAATCGAAATTTTTAGGGTTCTCAACACTTCACAATCTTCCCCTAAACGCAAACATCCGATCAAACATTCAGATTTGTATTTATTTATCAGGCATAACAGTTGAGTTTTCGTAATATCATGCTTCAAAGCAGTCGTATTTATATTTAAATAATAGAAAGTAAAATTTTTGGTGAAAAAACATAATTAGTGATCTTACTGAATGCTTACGATTAAAATTATAACAAAGGCTGTAGATATTTGAGATATTCAACTCTGGGGTACCATAACTTACTACGGCAAATGAATAAGATTCCTATAGATCCTTACCATCAACTTCTTCACCACAGGAACAATAACTTAATTCCTGCCACTCTACGGGTGCTTTCTTATACCAACATAGGCAATAGGGTTTTGCTACAGTGTCGCGTTCAAATTGTTCTCTGTCTGTTGCGACCATCATCGTGTCCATATTCACAATAGTCAACTAATAGAATTATAGAACTTGCACAATTAATCACTTAATCCAAATTATTTCACAGAAATAATAAAGTAACACATTAAATAATAACAACAAATAATGTGAGTTTCTATCACTTTTTTTTTCACAACAGTAAAACTCAAAATTCACCTACCGTTGTTCGCATTCACATTTCACAGTTCACAATATACAATAGATATATTACTTTCCTCTATGTAGGGTTGCCGTTCTACAAATTTTAAAGTCCCTAGACTAACAGAAAAAATCCGCCAGAAACAGGATTTTTCTTTTTCTTAAAATCCGCTAGAAGTCCCTAGGTACATTTTCGTGGTACCGTTGGTCTAACTGAAAAATCTTGCCAAAAGGTATACAAAGAATACCGAAAATCTAAATCTATAAATTCAGAAAACCTTAAAAAGAGCGGACTCTATTTCATATAAATTAATTATATATAGTGTAGGTAAATGACATGACAACCAAAACAAAAATTATTCATGTACAAAATAAAAAATATTGTAAAAAAATAAATCTCTTTTAACCAAGTTTAAACATTAGTCATCTTATTAAAAATAAAAAAAATTAGTTCAGTACGTTCTTGTACCTAAATTTCAAAATTAATAGCGAATTATGGATCCAGATCTTCAAAAAGAACTTCAGCAAAAGTTGAAGCTTCGCCAATGTCTCCAGTTCCCATCTTTGGTTTACCTTTACCGACTTGGTTGACAAGATCTTCGGGAATAGCATACGTTGCGCAATTCTTTTTTAATCCTTAACTGATTTATAATTAGACGGATGGAATTTAAAGGTTTTTCTGATTGCTTGTTTCAGTTTGCTTTTAACTACATTCATAGCACCAAATACGCGTTCAAATTCTGCATTTGAGTGCGGTAGTGATAATATTACTATTGCAAAATTACATAAATCTTCGAATATGTTTACTCCTGCTGCATTTTTGTATGTCGAAACCTTAGAACATGGTCTCAGGTCGAAACAGAGAAAGTGAATTAACGACATTGCATTTTTAGTTTATGTTCGGGAATTCCCGTGAAATTATATTATATATAGAGTGCTACCAACAGTAGATTACAAAATTGGACATATGATAAATTACTTATCTGAAATGAATTACTTCATAAAAAGTCGCCATCTCAAAAGTCCAAATGTCGCTAGAAGTCGCTAAATAATTATTTCTCGCTAAAACGATTTTTTTATCCGCTAAACATTGTTAAAATCCGCTAGATCTAGCGAGAAAGTCGCTAAAACGGCAACACTGCCTCTATGTACAATAGTCAATAGTGCAATGCAATACAACTAGGAATACAACATGCCACTGTAGCTGTACACGAGTTTCAAGAGTACCTATGGAGTACCTATTGTACGATATATTACTTTCCTCTATGGTACCTATTCTCTGTCTACTACGGTACCTAAATAATCAAAATCAAAAGTCACTGTCAAACCAAAGTCGTCCAAAGAGTAGAGCATGAAGGTCAGAGAACAGAAGAACGATCACTACGTTATACGTACATAGCCCGCCTGTCTTTGAAAAATGTAGAATACATAGGGGCGCTGACGTCGGTGAGTAGTGACTGCGAAGTTAGCTGTTTATGAGTACAAGTAGATTAAGTTAGTTGAATATTGTAAAAATTTTCATTTCATTTTTTCGTAGAAAATTTTCATGCTCCGTAATTTTGTAATTTTAGACAAAAAGAAACATTAAAAATGGAGAAATATTTTATTGTGCGTGGATGTGCAGGTGGTAGAGTATCTGATCGGAAAAATAGACTGAAAATTACTTTTATTGATTGCACTTAGTGATCGCAGCGCCACACTGATGGTGTCCATATTTCTGGGACCGTAAACAGAAACCTTCATGGAGTAGAATAATTCGTTAATATAAGTAAGTAGGGATGTAAAAAAAAATAGTCGATTTTCATCATTTATCGCTTTCATCTACATCCAATCGATTTTGTAAAATCGATTTTTTGGTAATAACAATCAATTTTTAATAAATTGATTAGAAAGTTCACTCGCATGAAAAAGTCAATAGAACAGATTATTAGCCATAATTATTTTTAGCTTTTTTGTTAAAACTTAAAGTTAAAAAAATTTGTATTTTAGTTTTGAGATAAAAAGGTTGTCGTTTGATTATTTATTCTTATAAGTTTACTTTATTTTCATTCTCATCCAATGTAAATGCTACTGAATATTTGTGACAATAATAATTTTGAGTTTCATTTTGATTTATTATACATAATAAATAAATAAATCTCAGGGTAATTAAAAGCATAGAGATAGTCCTAAAATAAGAACAAATTTCTTATAACTGAAGTCTTTATATATATGACGTTTATAATAGTCCAAAATAAGATGGCTATTTAATTCTCAACTTCTTTTTTACAAGGTTGTTGCCGTTTTACAATTCCATAGACACCTGCACTGATGGGCCATTAGCGAAACATAAAACGTTGTCGAAAAATTCATTTAGTCTGTGAATTAGTAAAATTAAGAATTTTTATTAATCCGGTTCGTAATACTTATTTACATCAACGAAAGTTTATGGAAGCATCATCTGACATCTTACAACGAAAACGTAGTCGATTCATGCGGAATTTCATACTATCGTTGTATAATTCAAAATATATCGTGAAAAGATCATTATGAAATCTACTTAAATTCAGCCTGTATATTTCCGCCAAATTACCCTCAGACTTAGTATGGGTTTGACAAGGAATCATAACTGTTTGTTTAATCGACTATGATTTTGTGATATGGAACGTAAACAGACGGCACTGTACGATAGTTTTTTTTAAATATAGAATAAGGGCTCCAAACGTGCACACAGTTCACCTGACGGTAATTGGACGCTGCGGCTCATAGATATCACATTTATCCTCCATTAAAACCCCTGAAGACTAAGATTGTATGCTTGGTTTCCAGTAAAAAGGGTCACCCGTTCTCTACACTCACTATACGAAACACAACAGCCTTAAACCTTAAGCTGCCATTTAAGCTTTATTCTGTAGGAGCGTGGTCCTTCCCAGGTCAGGTCGACCCATTCGTGCTACAACTATTGCAACTGCAGCGTGGCTCAACCACGTAAAATAGTATATTGATATAACAATGTCAACACGCGGTCTGCCACATCTCTTGTTGCTAGATCACAACTACTAATAAATCGATTACGAACGTATTACCCATTTTTCTCTCTGCTCCCTCAAGATATTATTCATCATTTATTCATTAAATACAGCCAATCAAAAGTCCACTGATGAACGTAGGGGAAATATTTGCCATAGTTCTCTCTCTTAGAAGTAAAGTGAAGTTTTATTTTTATTTTGAGTTGTTATCAGGAAGATACTCTTGCTTACCTCCTGTTTCATTTCTCTCTGTCGTCTCTTACGATACTCACGGGATGATATAGGGTTTTAGAGCTTCTAAGTAGTAATATAAATTATTTGGTAGGAGGTAGTAAATTTTTCAACCGCCGCTACACAACATTATCAAGATCCTGCTTTAACTTCATAATTTAAAAGTATTTTCATACAAGCAAATAAAGATTTGTTGAATATAGTCGATGGTTTTATTTTCCACTAAGCAAGTGGTAAATCTATATAAATAGTAATCAATTACCACATGTGTGAAAGATCATCACTTAAAAAGACTTGATAGATGTTGATGAAGACTCACACTACCAATTGGACCCGGTAAGTGGCGTTATTGTCGAGGTCTAGAAAACAGTCGTGCGAAGTCGGGGTGCATCGTTAGTCAGCACATAAAATTGGGATTACAAATGGGACCAATTCACTGATTTACATTGTGCCTAATTATTAGTCTTTAAAGTTTCAGAAAATAATATTTAAAATGTAATATAATAATTATCATCACTTGATTTGGAAAACTATTTACTGGATTGTTCGAATGTAAGTAAGTTTAGTGTAAAAAAAAGATTAAAATATTTTTATGCATAAAAGTAATAAAAATAAATAACTAAACAAAAACAAGTATATCAATGTCAATTGTTGCTAACGTTGCGAACGAAATCAGTATAGATTAAAGACGTAATGTCTTGTAATGTAATATTACACATAATACTACTACAATAGGGATGTCATTTTTCTAGTAAATCAGAACACACTAGTGTACTTACTTTCATATTTGGCATAGTATAAAGAGACCAAAGATTGACTGAGAGAAAGAGAGACAAAAGAAGATTTGACATTTCTATTTTCACGTATGAATTACATGCAACATCTTTCGATAGGTTCGTCTCTTTTTGCTTTATTTAAAGATTAAATTAGAAAGAGCGAGACAGGTATATTGACTCAATTTATGTATAATTGTAGGTAGAAAAATATTATATATACAAATTAACGCCTACTTTCGCATTCGCACACGAATTAAGTGTGCGATTAAAGTGTGTTTAAAGTGCAAAACATTTTGCTTGTAAAATCTGCAATAATTTCCATCCAACTACATAACGTAAAAGTGCAATTCTCATCAATTTGCAGAATAATCATGAAGGTTAGAGAGAAGGAGAACGATCGCTGTAGAAAATAGTGTCCCAGAAATATGGACAAAATAAGTGAAGCGCTGCGACTGCTAAGTTGTCTCAATAAATGACATTTTCAAACTTATTTTTCCAATCAGATGCTAAACAACTTGCAAATCCACGCACATCACAATATTTCACCATTTTTTAATGTCTCTTTTTGTCAAAAATTTAAAATTACGGAGCATGATTATTTTTTCCCGATGCTGCGAAGAATTTGTACAGTATTCAACTGAATTAATCTACTTATACTCATAAACAACTAACTTCGCTGATACTACTTACCGACGGCTGTTCAGGGACAGGGGGCCTATGCTTTAGCACGTAGCTATCGTTCTCCTTCTCTCTAACCTCCATGAGAACAATCAACCTACCCGACAAAGTGTCAAGTGCCAGGAGACAGTTAACCACGAATGTTAGAGAACAG